TTATCAGTCAGATCTTCAGGGATCTGCCTACCAGGAATTAATGACAAAAATACAAGGACTCTATTGTGAGAGAATGAATTACACAGACGGTGGCCAGACCATATATAACCATAGAACGTATATCCTGCAGCAACCTGCCTTACCTACAATAAAGAAGCCAACCCCCTTACTTACAATAAACCACCCCAGAAGCCAGCCTGCTATAAGTTAGACTTGCAGAATGACAATCCAGGAAGCTGCACAATAACTTCTGTAATAATCGGCACCAAATGGCTAGGATTAATAACTGACAGCTTCCTTACTTGTGATCCCTGCTTCCAATTTAGGACCAACCAGACAAAATGAAATATGTACCCCTAACCAAGCACATAGGAAGCCCTGCTTCTAATTAGCCTGCCTGTAGCTTCTCCATGCCAACAGCCTCCAAAAAGGTAACACCTTAAGCCTTTCCTTTACTCTACAAGGTGGCTTAGCCACTCCTCCACCAAAACAAAGGGCTAACTCCTACAGCAAGTTCAGAATAAATAATGTTTGCTTTCACCATTTGGTTGATCTTTGCTTATTTCCACAATTGTATTATTTCATCTTCAACTAGGATGATTCCAATTGAATCATCCTAGTTGAAGATGAAATATTAATTTAAGCTGGAACTGAAGGAGCAAGGAATGCCCAAGGGAGAGCTCTGTCATAGACTGAGGAGCCTATAGGCAGGGCCTGATGACAGACATCATTTGGTTGGAAGACAACTGTCAGCCACAGCCTGGGGAACAGCTGTCCCAGCTATCTAGGTGTCCTTGGGGTCAGTTCAGGTGAGTGCCCAACCCCACTGGGGTGACAGAGTAACCACCTCAGCTGCATTACACAACACCCCCTCTCTCTGCTCACTGCCCTCCATTAAAAATTACTCTAAGTGCCCTGGCTGGGTAGCTCAGTTGGTTAGAGTATCATCCTGATATGCCAAGGTTCAGGCCCCAGTTAGGGCACATACAAGAAGCAACCAATGAATGCATAAATAAGTGAAACAACAAACCAATGTGTTTCTCTCTCCCTTTCTCTCTCAAATAATTTTTTTTAAAAAAATCACTCTAAGACTTAGAGTCTAAGTGATGTAATGTAGAACATTAAGTTTCCACAAGTCTCAGAGGCTCGGTTCTGGTTGACCAACTTGAACATTTAGTTTCTTCTCTCTTCCTAAGCATACGCATGCCCACAATAAGCAAAGTGCAATTTTGTGTAAACTTTAAACCCTGCAGCTTCTGTTAAATTACGGACTAGTTCAGTAATTTCAGTTAAGAGATGATCTCCCTGAAAGTACTACACGGTGAGGCATACCATAGCTGAAAGTCATTGGCTTCAACTTTAAAGTACTTCTAAATTTTGTATTAATTACAAAATAAAACATTGTTATTGTAGAAAATCTAGAAAAAGCAGAGTAACAAAAAGAAAGCTAAAATCATCCATAATGACTATCAAGAGAAACAAATGTTCCGTCTTTTTCCCCCCCCCTCTTATGTATTTGGATGAGGGAGGGGAGATTCACTAAATAGGATGAAACTGATAGGGCTTTGAACTGAGTAGCTTTGCGTATTTCTCTAAATATGACTTACTGAGAAGCCAATTGATAATCAAAGTATTCTTTCAAGGCACTTCCTGAAGTGCCCAAGGGTAGAGAAAAGATCCTACATGACAGGTGAACCATCTGTACTTCCCCGATTCTGTCAGGACACTCTGTCCTGTACATGCTGGTCCCTCTGCCTGCAGCAGCCTCTCCCAGCCTTGTCCAGCAGAGCATCACTATACCCACCCTTCAAGACCTAGCCCCAGTCCTGCACCCTGGCAGCAGGAGGTGTCCCATACCTGTGCTCTCAGCACGCCACTGCATTTCCATAGGGCAGTTGGCAAATGGCAGTGATTCCAGTGTGACTGGATTTGTGCACATCCATAAACTGGATACTTCAGAGAGTCAGGACAGAAATTTTCTAGTTTATACACCCACCCGCTTGCAGAGGACACAATGAAGACAGGGTATACTGGTGGTTGGAGTGTGGACAGTGGAGCTAGTCTGCCTGGGTTAGGTTGAATTTTGTCTTCACTGCTTACCAGCTGTGACCTTGGGCAAGTCACGTGTCCTTTGTATTCCATGGTTTCTTCTTTAAAACAGAGGTGAAAATGGTATTCGCCTCACAGGTCAATAAGGATTAAATTAACACATGAAAGTACTTTACAAGGTACCCAGAACAGGGTAAGCACTACATAAACTCTTGAAATTATTAAGTTAGTCATAAGAGCTAACCCACATATCTCCATGCTGCTTATAGTTCTCACAATCATTTTACTCAGTTATGAGGGCACCGAGGACTCATGACTAGCTCTTACTAGTTTTCTCTGTACATGACGAACAAATATGTGGTCCAGATTCCTCTCTGACTACAATAGAACACAGGCATTCATGTGGAACCAAGTTTGGATAACACTGCCTCACTATTAAATAGAAATGCTACTATTGGACCAATTTGCTCACTCTATGTGGAGAATATTCATTACCCAAGAAGCAAGTTCTGCTGCAGAGCTAGTCTGCTTCAGGACAAGGGAAGACTCGGGACCATGCAATATTTTCTGAGTCAGCTCAGACCAACCAGATGGAAACTAGGCTCAAATCTCATAGAAGCTGCTGGGTTTAAAGTTTACACATAAGTCTCCAATTACTTATCAAAAGTGTACTTCCACCCTAACTGGTTTGGCTCAGTGGATAGAGCATCGGCCTACGGACTCAAGGGTCCCAGGTTCGATTCCGGTCAAGGGCATGTACCTTGGTTGCGGGCTCATACCCAGTAGGGAGTGTGCAGGAGGCAGCTGATCAATGTTTCTAACTATCCCTCTCCCTTCCTCTCTGTAAAAAATCAATAAAATATATATATTTTTAAAAAGTGTACTTCCGCCCTAGCTGGTTTGGCTTAGTGGATAGAGAGTTGGCCTGAGGACTGAAGGGTCCCGGGTTCGATTCTGGTCAAGGGCATATGCCCGGGTTGTGGGCTCCATCCCCAGTAGGGGGCATGCAGGAAGCAGCCAATCAATGATTGTTTCTCATCACTGATGTTTCTATCTCTCTCTCCCTCTCCCTTCCTCTCTGAAATCAATAAAAACACATTTTTTAAAAAGTGTGCTTCCAATCCTGGCCAGTGTGACTTAGTTGGTTGGAGCATCCTCCTGTCATCAAAAGGTGGCAGGTTCAATTCCTGGTCAGGGCACATACCCAGGTTGCATGTTTGATCCCTGGCCAGATGAGTACCGATCAATGTTTCTCTCTCTCTCTCTTCCTCTCTCAAATCAATAAAAACATTTTTTTAAAAAGATTCATTCCAAGGGGAGAGAGACACAGAGAAATAGGGAAAGGGCAGAGGGGGAGGGAGAGGGACAGGGAGAAGAAATGGAAGCCCCTGATGTTCAAATTATTCTGCTAGAAACAAGCTGAACTAAAAAAGGATAGACAACTCTGACACATTTCCTAGGCTTTAATGCTCCTAAAGAACATCCTATTTTAGATTATATTGTAAGAAGTGCTGACCTAAATATCCTAACTTTTAAAGTCCCAGAAAGGCATTTACTTGTTCATATATTTACTTAAAGCTTGCTTTAAAAATATGCAACTCTTCATTCTTTAAACATCCAATGAATCGGGATTAAGATGTCCTCAAATGGAAATAGATAAGGCTTCCAGCTATGCCTAGGTCTGAATCACTTCAACAGAACAAAACATGCAGATTTTCTTCTATGAGCAAAGGTACAGCCATCTGTCGCGCCGGTCATCCTCTGTTCAGGGAAACTGGTTCAGATTTGAAACCAACAAGCAGCCTCAGCACAGCCTGACTTACATTAGCCAGCCGCAGATGGACTGGCTTCATACTCAAACTTATCTACCTTAACACAAAATAAAGCTTGCCTTCCATATATCCTCTCTGTCCTAAAACCTAAAACAAAACAACCCAATTGACAAGAGCTCTTCAGTTCTGCCTGTCCCTTTGACTGGTGGATTCTTGCCTAAGTCCTTGAAAACCTCTGAAAGGCAATCTTCAGGCTATTAAAAACATTTAAATAGAAAATAAAATTCTAGCCCTGGTTGGTTTGGCTCAGGGGATGGAGCATCGGCCTGCGGACTGAATGATCCCGGGTTCGATTCCAGTCAAGGGCATGTACCTTGGTTGTGGGCACATCCCCAGTGGGAGGTGTTCAGGAGGCAGCTGATCGATGTTTCTCTCTCATTGATGTTTCTAACTCTCTATCCCTCTACCTTCATCTCTGTAAAAAATCAATAAAATATATTTTTTTAAAAAGAAAAGAAAATTCTAAGAAAGTCTGTGAGTAAATTAAGCTCTCTGAACAAAACATTTAATCTTATTTGTGTGCTTCTCTATAAAAATCGTTCACACTTTTAAAAAGTACTACTGCTGCCTTTCCGTAGGTACAAATAATAAAATATAAGTGTGAGATAAGAGAACAATTAAAAGCTATTCTGGGATAAAGAACCTTGGGCTTGGAGGCCAGATGTCTGGGTCTCCCCCATTTGTGTGTGACTCCCCTGGTTGCATGGCTACAGGCAATTCCTTTGTCCCTTCTGAGTCTCTATCCTGATCTGCAGACGTGATGAAACTTCTCAACCCAAAGGCTGAGAGAACCGTCCCAGTCGGTGCCTGAGAACGGAGACGTCCGCCCACCTGTCGGTGCACTGCCTTCCCTGGGAAGTTTGCAGGGACCTCGAGAACCCTGCGATGAAGACCTAGAAAGGCGCTGCATCAGCTCCATCCGAGGGTACAAAACCGACTGCTTATGGGACTAAATGTTCCACTCTCTCCCTCACCTTGACGCATCCGCCGCTGTTCTGTTTAAATAAACATACTCATTCCCGGTCTTGAGCAATCCTAACCTAGAGCTGGACTTTCAGAGACCACAGAAGACAACCGGCCAGAGCCAGCGGCGACTAAGGAGCCCTCCCGGCCACTTACAAACGGGGTCTTCCATTTTCAAGGGCCTTTTCAAACGGATGCTCGCGGGGACCGTCTTCTCCATCAATTCATCAATGCTCTAGAATTAAAACGCGAGACGGTGAACACGAACGCGGGAGCAAAATGCTTCTGAATTAAAAGAGTCACCTCTGTGTGTTGCATCTGCAAAGACTTGTGGGAACCTCGTTTAAGTCGCCTAATTATGGTTCCTTTTTTAAAAAGGAAAGAACAACTTTGAAAAAAACAATCAGAAATCGCTTGGAGCAAAGAAAATGATGAAGTGGGGTAGTGATTGGGCCACTCCGGGTTGGACTGCAGTCGGCAACGGGAGATAATCGGATAAACTGGGAGTTCCTCCTCTCTCCAAGTTAGGACTCATTAGTTAGGGGCGACTTGGGTTGGAAAAAACAAACGGTTTTGAAGCGCGAAGAGAAAATACGCGGGCGGGAGAAGGATGGGGTACGGAGGACCGAGCGCGCGGACTCGCTTCCACTCCAGGGCCCGGCACCGGGACGCGGGTCCCACGCGGAGCCAGGCAGAGCTCGGGCGGGGGGTCGGGAGGCCGCGCCGGCAGAATCCCGGGCGGGGCGGGGCGAGGTCCCGAGGGCCGGAGGGGGGTCCTTAC